CACTTAATTAATTATAACATTACACAATTAAATAATTACATATTTACTTAATTAATTATGACATTACATTATAAATATTAAACATAAGTAATTAATTAAATTATTAGAAATTTAATTAATTATAACATTACATTATTGTTAAATAACTACTTAAATAATTATAAGTATTTATAATATTACATTATAGTATGATCATTTAATTAATTATAACATTGCATTATAATTTAATAATTACTTAATTAATTATCACATTATTATATTACATTTTAAACATTATTAATTTATAATATTAAATTTACTAAATTATATTTAGTATATTATAAATACCCAATTGGCCAATTATAACATTAAATTAATAAAATTTATAAACATTAATAATTTATTAATTTATCAAATAGACCCCTGGCAATGTTAGAAATTAGTATAAATAATGGGGTATCTTGTAATTTTACATTTACAATCAAAGCAAAATACCCAATTCGATTAGGGTATCTCAAATTGACAAATTCTCTCCTTCTCCATTCTCTCTGCGACTCTGCTGTCTTCTTCTCTGTGTTGTCTACTTTTCTGGTTCTTCTCCATTCTCAAATTGAATGATTTTGGTGAAGTTATTTGATGTGAATTGTGATAAATAATTGTTTGTGTTTTGGTTTTGATTGACGAATTTTATGTGAATTGTGATGAATTGATTGAATTCAGGTGTTGCTTAGAGATTACATATTATGAGTTACATTGGACACAAATGAATGAATAATCAAAATTTTTTAGGGGTGTATTTGTAAACTTTTAAGGTATTTTTGTCATTTTTTAAACTAATAGGGGGTAATTGATTTTTTATAGGGTACCCGGGAAAGGAATCGGAACCTGCATTTTAGGTTCTGGTTCCTTGAATTGAAGAACCTGCACTGTACGATTCTGGTTCCGGTTCCTTTTTTTGGGAACCTGCACTGTGCAGTTCCGATTCCAGTTCCCTCGGAAAATGCAGGGTACTCGAAACCGCTCACCCCTAAAATTTATTATAAACTTTTTACATATATTCTCACCCAAAGTTCGATGAAATAGTAAGTTTGTACCTCTAGATTCATATATTCCAATTTACACCCCTAAATTAACACATTGAATTTCTTTTAACAATAAAAAGTTAAAATAGTCATTTACATGTCTCAAATTACCCAACCCCAATTCTATCCCAAATTTCGACATTCACATAAATCATCTCCATCCCTCTTTTGCTGCTAGCCATTTGGAACTGATTCCCATCAATTTTCTCACCAAAATTGACTGGAATCGTCACTTTATCATTTTTCCAAGTGTTTTTCTAGCCTTGATAGCCCTCGATTTAGTCGATTTTTTACGAATCTCATAACCCAACTCCACCGCGTACGACATCCATTTCCAGCCTTTTCAGTATATACCCAGTATTGTTGGCCTTCCCCGACACCACCATCTTCCTCCCCTCAATCCTCTCATCAAAATCTCTATCATACCTCATCCGTTAACTCCGTCAAATAGCCGACCACTGATACTTTTTTGGTTGCAACTTCTCAAGCCTTTTTTGGCCAATCCAGACATTGGAAATTACCTATTTCACACCCATCGCTTCTCCAACATCTGCTATCCAAAACCCCTCACCAACTTAACCCAGTTAGCCTGCCGATCGCCGTCCACCTCTTCTAGTGATTTTGCATCTTCTCAAAAGACAAGAAAATAAATTTGAAATAATTTTTTTTTAATATACACTTATATTATTAGAAGACCCTCAAAGTAATTCTTGCTTAGGGTCATAAATGTTCTTGAGATGACCCTATCCACTGGTAAGGGGGAATTAAGAGGATGTGCATAGCTTTCATCCATAGTCTCGAGGCATTAATTTATATTGCCTGTTTTACAAGAACGAGGAGAGATATTGAATGAAATAACAGTGGTGAATTATTATGTAATTTAAAATTGTGCGTGGGGTCTAGCCTGATGTTTTAGTGGCAAAAAGAGAGTAGAAGACAACTGTACTTTTAGGTTGCAACCACTCTACTGTTGTAATTTCAGAAAGAGGGTGGAACTGTGGAAGCAATATTAGAGAAAACATTAAGCCTCTTATAGTTTTAACCTGTCCAATGAGATCCTTTTACTTTTAGAAATGATTAATTACCTCCCCTTTAGTTTTTAGTACTCTTAAATTAATTTGTTTGACCATTTTAAGAACCAGTTTATCCTTATTTATGTCAAACCCATTAAAGTCGTCGTTTTGTTATCATTTTAGAGAAGAGAAGATTGATTTTTCTTTCAACAAAACTTGAAATTTTCAATAGGGTAAACACGGTCAAAAACTGATGTTTAATAGTGGAGACAAATATATTTAGTATCGATAAATCTGAACAATAACCATTATTGAGTGACCTGATGGTAAAAGAGTAAAGAATAATCTAACATGATTTTTCAAGTTCGAGTCCTCTTAAAGGTAAAAGAGTAAGAGGAGGATCTAACATGATCTCTTAATTTTGAGTTCCCATGATTGCTATTGGGGTGATTATTAGAACTTTTATCCGATCGATAGGTTTAGGGTTTCAGAAGATTAATTAAGGTACATGTAAATTGGCTCGAACATTCCTTATCATTAAAAAAAAAAAAAATCCAAACATTGTAGAATAATGAGACGTTTTTCCATTCTTTCATCAATGTATTATGTGATCTTTCATTCACATCCTCTCTCTCTCTCTCTCTCTAACTTTCGAACATTTATAGGATGAAAATAAATAAATTAGAATACCATGTGGATATCACACGGGTTATTTTACGAGTCAATACCCTTATATCATGTGTAAATTTTAACTCATTTATCTTTAAAATTGATGTGATTAGCAATTATATATTAACTTTAATTAGCGTGATATGGGATGAGATTTTGGTGATGGGTGATAATAGTTGACGATTGAAGAATGTCAAGATTGTGTACTTAAAGAATTTTCACTTCCAAAAAAGGTCAAACCCAAAACTTCGTGTGCTGCATCAAATCCACTTTGAATCTTTCATCAATTCCGAAACAACAAGAAACAAATATTTGAAATTTAAAAACTGAAGTAACTTTCAGTTTAATAAACCTAATCATGCACTAAAATGTAACTCAATAACTGCAAATATATATGTAAAGTGAAAAATCAGGAATGAATTTGTTGATACTTGATTTTGACACTAACTACTCGCATATGTGAAATGTTGATCTCCAGGATCAGTCTCCACTTGGATCTAAAGGATTTTCAGCCGTAGATGAGTAACAAATTTCATCCTCTCCCATTAGCATATTCTGGAATAAATGACAAAGACAGAGATGAAGGCTGGATCAAATGCCATGAAAACCTTCTTTAGCTCAACCTTAAACGACGTGGCTCCAGCCTTTGACTCAATACAAATTTAATTGACTCCACCATGGCAAAGTATAAGCCACATCACCACATTACAGTCACTATTTCAGTGCAGAGCATGAATGGAGGACAATCGATTTCATATATATATTTAATAAAAATAAACTAATACTGTTCTTCAATAATTCAAATCCTGGAGACAGGCACCTATTTTTTTGGGGACAACACCTCCACTATTTTTGTCCCCACCTTTTAATATTGAATGTCACATTTAAAATGCAGAATTATAAATTAACTCAATAACTGCAAACATATATGTAAAGTGAAAAATCTGGAATGAATTAATAGAGTATTTTCAGCGGGACGTGGGTCCGGCTCTTAACTCTTCCAGGAGCCGAAATTTCTCGTTGAGGAAAGGTGAAAAGATTTTAATAATTGCGGGTTTGAATGAAGGTTTCAACGACTACGTTGTGGACCCTGTGGACTGACACTGGTTCTGGAAAGATTCCTGAGCTTGGTTTATTTTTTAAACCCCTTTTAAGTTTTTTTCTTTTTTATCGTCCAGGTGTTTAACTTAATTAATTTTCTAAAATCTTAACACTGTTTATCAGATAAAAGTATCAGTGACCACGGCTCCGTTTGGTTCACAATTTTGTGTTTTTGGGAAAAGTTTTTTGAAAAAAGTTAAAAAAAAAGTTGAATTGGGTGGGTATTACGATGTAGGATTTATAAATTTAAAATACCCCCTATGTTTGTTTTTTTACAAAACACCCCTTATAATAAAACATTAAAAGTTAACAAAAATACCCCCAATCCACCCTCAAATACGGACAGCTGGCCATCACCGCCGGAGGGTGGCCGGAGTTGCCGTAACAAAAACATTAAAAATATTTAGGGGTATTTAATTGAATTAACAAATTTAGGGGGTTTAAAAAATGTTGAATAAAGTTGAATAATATTGTGAGTTTTTGGGTATTTTACTGTTTAACTTTTTTGGGAATACTAAAAGTAGTATTCCCAAAATCCAACCAAACGAAGCCCTGAGTTTTTGGGTATTTTACTGTTTAACTTTTTTGGGAATACTAAAAGTAGTATTCCCAAAATCCAACCAAACAAAGTAAAAGCTGATAAATACTTTTAAGTTTCATTATCATTTGATCCTTCATTAATTCCTATCCTAAAATAGAAAATGGGGATTCAGAGATGATAAATACTAACGGTAGTGGAGGTCCAAGGGGTTTGAAAGAAATTAGCCTTAAAGTAAAAGCTGCAGTGTTTGTCTAAGACACCCTTATACTTCTAATAACATCAAATTAAAGTACACCAATAATACTACATTCATAAACTCTTTTTATTAGTTTTCTCTCACAAACGTGACGTATCAGTTCGTAATTGATCAACTCGCAATGAATTTCGTATGCCCGACAATGAATCACATCTAGCTAAATACAAACCGACCAATTACAAGTTGCCACATAAATGTTTATTTGAAAAAATTGTAAGAAAGTTTTAATTAACCTATCGTTATTCTAAATGGAAGGGTCTTCAATGTCTCTTTGTAATTGTCTTCTTTCTGTCTGAGTTGATGGTTGTTGTCTCATGATTCTCATGTGCAGAAGAGAAATATGTAAAATCTATTCTTTCATCAATTTTACAGCTAATATCCTTTAGTTTATTGTACTTTATCATTATCAATTCTGTCTCTTCATCTGCCTTCCTCACTCTACCTGTACCGACCATATTTATTTACACTCAGTCTCACTCAAGTTCTACCAACCAAACTTCAAAATGGAGAATGGAGCAAAACCATGGGTTTTCCGAGGTACTCAAAAGTTTACTACAAAACAGTACTCTAATGACTCTAAACAGATGATAACCATCCGAGAAGCTCAGGAAGAGTTAGTGGGAAATCTTAACCAAGATGATGAAAGGTCCTTCGTCCATCTTGGCCATGGCGACCCTTCAGCTTATCCGTGCTTTCGGACCACTCCTTCGGCCGAAGACGCCATTGTTAGTGCTCTCCGATCAGCTCAGTTCAACTGTTATCCTCCCGCCGCTGGTATTCCTCCGGCAAGGAGGTAAAGTATCAGTTTTACACTTCCGTGTAGCTGCGTATACGCATCCATTAATATCAGTTTTTTCAGCAAGGAGAAAGAGTTTTATTTGATTTATTTTTACTTGCACGGATTTCAATTAGGGAATCAAATCATTTCTTTCATAATTTCAACATTCATGTGACTTCTTTCATGATTACGTTATTATATCTTTTCTCTTTTACTTTAGTTTTTATATAGAGGAAATATTTATGGGTGCATTTGGTTTCTTATTTTGGGTAGGATTTTGGGGATAGTATTGGATAGTTGGATAGGAGAGTATTACGAGATAAAATTTAAAAATTTAAGAAAAAACCCCAAGGTTTGTTAATTTAATAAACACCCCAACATATTAAAATATTATAAAATGATAAAAACACCCCTACCACCCTGGCGGGTATTCGATCGATATGGTTTTTTCTGGCCATATCCACCATAGATCTGGCCGAAAAAGGTCAGATCTAAGACCGGATGTGGCCTTCAACGGTCGAAAAAGGTTATATATGGCCGTCGTTGTCTGTCAACGATGGCCAAGATTTGGCCATCGTTGTTTGTCAACAATGGCCAAAGATTTAGCCGTCGTTGACAATCAACAAGATCCACCACGGATCTGGCCAGAAAAGGCTAGATCTGGCCATTTCTGGTGGTCGTGTGACTGTTGTGACAGATTCCGGTTACCACCGGCGGTGGTTGCTGGAATCTGGCAAGTATTGGTGGGTGGGGGTGTTTTTGTTAATTTTTAAACTTTTTTCTGGGGGGTATTTAATGAAATTAATAAACTTATTGGGTATAAAAGTAATTCAAAAAATAGACTAATATTTTGGTAATAACGTGCTAAATAACATTTGAAGAATAGGATCGAGAATATGGATAAAAACAATAAGCCAAACGCACCCTATATGTTAAATTATAAACTGAAAATAAATGACGCATATATATGTGGATTCTATGAGGAAAAAAATGAGTGGTTGAAATTAGAAAAGATAACATTCACATATTTCCCATGCTTGTTATATCTTCGATTTTGTATGATTGAGTGACTGTAACTAATGCTGTATACTGTAAATTGTTTTTAGCTTCAAGGTACATGTTAAATAGTTCTACGAATGACTATACTATTACGCCAATAATAATTTTAAAAAAAATAGAGGAAATCGGAATAAACTATAAAGTTGATTGGTTTCTTTGTAGAAATGCGAACCTAAGAGTAAAAGGATTTTTTTTTTTTCACCCATAGACTTTAAAAATGCAATTTTTTTATTCAAATTTATATTTTGTTTCTAATTCCGGCATCGTTACAACCTCACACTATTACCATTGTCTTCCCCAATCACAACTCATTAAAACCCCTCAAACCTACTCTCGCCAACTTTACTAATCGCTGACAATTGAACGATTAGAGTTTATACAACTGTCCATCCCAAGTCAAATTCATATCTATCTTAACCACCAAAATCTAACATTTCACCACCACAAGATTCATCATGTCTCTCCTCTTTAAAAGCCTCAATAACCTGAATCGAATTTGTTCTCTATTCATTTTCGAAATATAAATTTAGATAATAAAGTAGTATTTTAAAAGTTTATGAGTGAGAAAATGTCATTAAACCATTATTAAAATAGTTAACTCAATGCGTGAGTACCAAAAAAGTCTTAAAGGAGTTCATTTGGGTTTATAGACTTATTAGGAATACTAACTGAATCTTTTCAAGATTAATTATTTACATTATTACTTACATATGTGTGTATATATATAAGACGTGTCATGTTCTTCTCTGCTGTGCTTTAGCTTTCCAAGGACTTCTCCCTCCCGTTCTTGTTTTTTACGAGCTTCGTGTATATCGCCTTGGCCATATTTTCATTAGTATTTGTAATATAAAATGATCAAAAGCAAAACAATGGACTGGACATTACAAGTCATCATACTATATATATAAGACGCGTCATGTTCTTCTCTGCTGTGCTTTAGCTTTCCAAGGACTTCTCCCTCCCGTTCTTGTCTTTTAAGAGCTTCGTGTATATCGCCTTGGCCATATTTTCATTAGTATTTGTAATATAAAATGATCAAAAGCAAAACAATGGACAAGCCATCATACTATAAGAATAAATCAGTTCAAGAATACACAGTGACATATATTTTTATTATCAGTTATTTATCTGGCAGTAAGTGCAAATGTGACATCCGCAATTTATCTGAAAATTGTTATGAAAATACCTTCATATGATAGTAACAAGATATTTACGTGGTCTTACAGGGCTATTGCAGAATATGTCTCCCGTGATCTTCCTTACAAATTGTCACCGGATGATGTTTATGTCACAGCAGGTGGCAACCAATCAATTGAGATCATCATAACGGCCCTTGCTCGTTCCGGTGTTAACATTCTGCTTCCTAGGCCAGGGTACCCACAGTATGAAGCTCGTGCAGCTTTTAGTCACCTTGAAGTTCGGCATTTTGATCTTATACCAGAAAAGGGATGGGAGGTTGATCTTGATGCTGTTGAAGCTCTGGCAGATGAAAACACTGTTGCCATAGTCATCATTAACCCTGGCAATCCTTGTGGAAATGTCTTCTCATACCAGCATTTGAAAAAGGCATGTCATTATATCAAATATGTCCTATACATTCTTGGTTATCACTATGTTCGATACCAGAGTCTTGATTATTTCATAGGGTGCTACTAGCTTAGTTTAGAATTGAAATCGAATGTAAAGAATCTAGAATCAACTATGTTCTATATATAACTTGACAGTCCAACTGTTTTATAGTTTTGGTTTATGTGTTTTGTGGGAATACAGGTTGCAGAGACGGCACGAAAGCTTGGAATGTTTGTGATTGCTGATGAAGTTTATTCCCATATAGTCTTTGGGAATAAACCATTTATACCCATGGGAGAGTTTGGATCAATTGTTCCTGTACTTACAATAGGGTCTATATCAAAGAGATGGATTGTTCCAGGTTGGAGACTTGGCTGGATTGTGACAAACGACCCCTGTGGCCTCTTGAAGCAAACTGGGGTTAGTGTCTATCTTTTCAGCTTGTTTCTCAAACTGCATGGTTGTTAAATTTATAAAATTGGTTCACTTCTCCTAAAACTTTGTGTCTATCGTTTGCTGTCATGCCAACTTAACATGAAAAGGGAGAATCAAGAACAGTATATATTACGATTCAATCCAGAATATTATTTCTACTGCAAATTTCTTCAATGCTTAAGCATCATACTTCAACAGTCTTATTCAGCGACACTCTGATCTCACATATGTTTCGTAAAATCCTTTCAAAGTTGGAAGCAACAATTCTTGATTCACTTTGATTATATGTTTGGTGAGTGATATTTTTTCCTCACAAATACTTTTCAGTCAGAAGCATGTGTGTTAACTTCTGCAATTACGTGTAAAAGTAACAAAGAAAATTCCGTCTGATTTCATGGGTGCACCTTGTTAAAGAAGTTTATGGAACATTTTACTGTGTTGAGTTAGTCGCTTTAACTGAATAGCCTGCTTTTGCCATACTGCTAGTCTCAAAGCATGAAATACTTCCTTTTAAACATAATTTCTCTGTTTCGTTCTCACCAGATCTTGGACAGCATCAGGAATTATGTTAACCTCTCTAGTGACCCTGTAACTTTCATTCAGGTATGTAGTTTAAGGTTTTTTCTCGTAGACAACGTATCTATACAAATAAGAAGAATTTTAATAATGCAATGCCATCTGAATATTTTACAATGGCTCAAGGATTGTGCACTAAAAATAATCTTTACATCTAGGAGTTATGAAATTATATTATACTTATTTATAGTAGGCAGCACAATGATGTTTAACCAATAAGTTTTAGATATACATAAGTTGCCATATTATGAGCTAATAGAAACTAATAACAATAAAAGGTCGGTGGAGGCTGATTTGCGTGATAGTAGTACTATCATGCATAAATTCTCTGGTTTCCTCTTCTTATCATAACTTAAGCTATGATGATCTCGTTTATATATCAGGGGGCAATTCCCGAAATTCTTGGAAACACAGAGGAAGACTTCTTCTCCAATATCGTACGCACCATAAAAGAAGATGCGGATATTTGTTGCAGTAAAATCAAGGAGATCCCTTGTATTGTTTGTCCACAACAACCTGAAGGAGCGATGTCTGTAATGGTAAGGACTGGACAATCTTGTGCTAATTCGTGTATTTTTTTTGTTTTTCATTTCTTTTCCTTCTGAAAAAGGAAGATGTTAATTCCAAATTGTTGACTACCACAGGTGAAGCTAAACCTGTCACTACTCGAAGGAATTAACGATGATATGGACTTTTGTGTCAAGCTGGTCAAAGAGGAATCTGTGATTGTTCTACCAGGCAATTAACACGGTTTTGAACCTAATGTTTACTCTTCCTAAAGTGTGTAGATTTCAATATCCTCTTGAAAAAGCGATATCCTGAAACTTGGCATTTTTCTTTTCCTGATATTAGAAATGTAGTTTGTGTTCTGACTATGTTTACTTGAGATAAAGGGATTAAAATAAACAGAAAAACACAAAATAACATATGGCTGTTGTAATAATGTAATTTATCTGCTTTGCTTATTCAAACCAGTTGATATATGATCACTGCAGAACAGCTATCTAAACTTCTTGTTTTTTGTCCTATTGAAAATGTTTCTTGCAGGGACTACAGTGGGAATGAAAAATTGGATACGCATAACTTTTGCCATTGAACCCGCGATTCTTGCAGAAGGCCTTGACAGGATAAAGAGCTTCTATCAGAGGCATGCCAAGAAGCTGTAACGTTATCATTATGTGGTTGTTTTCCCAAGTTTTCTTCAACCTTAGGGAGCTCTGCACTGATGTCTATAATTGCATTGACATGCAATTATGTAGACATAGAGTAGGGAGATGTACAATTCAAGTTGGATGATCATGTCCTGTTTACGCTTTTATGAATGATATGCCTATTAATAATATCATTTGGTTACTCTAAATTTAACCTTTTCAATTCACGAAAGGTACAAACTACATAAATTGCACACATTTTCCAAAGCTTTGAATCATCATTCACATCCCATTTTGCGCAACCTTACACTTTTTCTATGTACTACTTGTAAACAGTTCTTTTGGGTAAAAGGTAATATATAAAGAATAAAAGAATGAGTCCCAACCATAGGACCCTACAAAGTCACGGTCCTTGGACAAGCCCAAGCAACCAAGCAAAGCAAACAAAGTGAAATCAAGGATTTACAATCCTAACGGCCACCTAGCAAGCCTCAAAAAGGGCCAGCAAAACAAAAAAATGCAGGCCATCTGGAAACAGCACAAGCTGTAGACAAAAGGCCAGCCACCAAAAAGAGCCCAAAAACTCAATCCCCAACCAGCAGAAAGACCATAAATCACCACTGAAGAATTTCAGCAGCCTCATGCATATCCTCTAAGAAACCTTACAACTCTTATCACAGAGCACACAGCAGCCAGACAAAAAACTCCCCAAAAAAACATCAAACCAGCAGCAAGATTCACATTGAACAACAGCACCGAAAACAAGCCAAACCGCAACTCAGAAGCAGCCTCAGCAGGCTAAGCGGAAATGCCAGTCAAAAGGGTCATGAATTTAAGTAATATTGAGTGACAACCAATTAACTTACTAGAGAGGAAAACCAATTACCTTACTAGAAAGGAAAATTATGGTCTTGGGAAATCTATTACCTTATTAGAAAGGAAAATTAGCGTTTTGGGATACAAACGGATGGACAGAAAATATATGCAAGAGTGAATATGACAAGTTTAACCTTTTTGATTTCATTCTTCCATTCACTTGAATTACTCCTTTTAAAATTGATTAGTAAATTAATTATAGGCAAAATTACCCTTATTCTAATTATCACACAAACGCAAATAAAAGATTATCAAAACGCAAACAGACCAATCACCACGAACATCAATCTGCCTCCAATTGAAGAAAAAAATAAAAATGACAAATATCTTCTTCCCTTCCTGATCAACCTGACTTCAAACATTACTGTCAAACTAACAAAAAATAATAATAAAAATAAACAGTTTACAGCCAAAGTCAACCTCAGTTCCTAGAGCACAACGTGAATTCGACGGTTCAAGGTAATCCAATACAGTAAACATAGTTTATACCGTTTCCGGAGATCTAGCCGGAGGGTATAAAGCAAATACACGTGTCTAATACTTTGCCGATGGAGATTTGGTTTGACAAAATATTTATTTTTTTCAAAAAGGAAAAAAATCCCTTCATTCTGAAATTAACAAGAATATATTAGGAATTGTCAAATCAATATATTATTTAGCACTAGCTTAAAGATTTTTATCACAATATCATAAATTTTAATAGTAAGTAATAAACATAATTGC